CCTTGAAAACTCTTGAAAAAACAAAAAAAAAAGTGAAAACGAGCGAAAAAATTTCAAAAGTTTGAATTCGCGCGCTTTTACTCACCGGGCGGCCTAGAAAAAACCTCGTCTCTAAGGGCTTTCAGCGTATTTTTCGATGCGTTTTTCTCGATGAAGGAATTTTTTTTGAATTTTTTCTTTATTTTTATGTCAATCTACATGCATTTCTGCACATTTTGATGCAATAAAAATTTTCACCGTACACCACCTTTAATATGATGGCCTGACTTTTGCAAAGTGATTTTCCTAGGCCATCGTGTAAAAATGGTCTAGAAAACCTACCAGGGTGAAACCTGAGTCAGGTAACCTGACTGATTCTAGGTCATTTTACCATGGTGGCATTTCTAGACCAAAAAAGTTGGTGGCCTAGAAAAATCATGTTTCCAGAAAGTTAGGCCGCCATGTTAAAATGGCCTAGAAAACCCACTAGGGGCATGTTAGGCCATTTTTGTATGGTGGCCTAGAAAACTCAACTTGCAAAAGTTAGGCCACCATAGCCTGTTCATAGCCTAGAAACCCCACTAGGTGAATTTTAGACCACTTCTAGGCTATTTTTGCGTGGTGGCCTAGAAAGCTCAAACTACATAAAAGTTAGGCCATCATGTCAAAATGGCCTAGGAAACAGATCAGTTCAATGTTCTGTCATTTTTATGCCAAAAAAAATGGTGGCCTAGAAAAATCATGTTTCGAAAAAGTTAGGCCACCATGTTAAAATAATCTATAAACACCCTAGATGAATTTTAGACCATTTCTCAGTCATTTTAACGTGGTGGCCTAGAAAATTCAACTTGCAAAAGTTAGGCCGCCCTTCTCAAACGGCTTAAAAAGCACACTAGATGCATGCAAGGTTATTTTTAGGCCAAAAAAGTTGGTGGTTTAGAAAAATCCTGTTATGAAAAAGTTAGGCCGCCACGTTTAAATGGCCTAGAAAAGAATTCCTGGAATTAGAGTTGACGAGCAAAGCAACTTTTTTCTGTTTTAGCTTTCTAGCTCACCAACCGATACCATTAGATTCCTCTCATGATTTTACATATAATACGAGCAAGTTGCGAGCTAGATCGTCAAAATGGAGCCGTGTATTCAAAATTGAAGAGCACCTTCCGAGCGGATCCAGGAATTCAAAAAATGTATGCCTAGAAAACACACTAGGGTCATTTCAGGCTAGTTTTATGGTCATTTTGCCATGGTGGCCTAACTTTTACAAATTGAATTTTCTAGGCCATCATGTTCAAATGGCACAAAAACTCATTTTTGGGCTGCCTATGCATATTAAATCATTTTAGGATCATTTTCAATGCCTATTTTCACATTTTTGGGGTAAAAATTTCAAATTTTGGAACTAAATTTTTTAAGCCACGCCCCTTTCCAAGCCTTACCCGCATCCCATTCCGGCACATAATTCGGCGGAAGTGCTCTCACAACACAATCCATCGCGAACATCTCCTTATTCGCCCACGTGTAAATGGCTCTCTCTCCCTCGTGTACTGTAGCCAGATACTGTCCAGTCTCATTGTAAGACAGAGAGACGCAGGGTTTCGAGAACAAGAGCACATCAATGAGTTGGGACGTCACAATGTCAAAAACTCGAACATAGCTCTGATTATCAGCTACCAGGAGCCATTTTCCATCACTAGAGAAAGTCAGCGCATTCACTTTTGGTCCAACGTGCTCAAATGCTCTAGCTACAGTATGACAAATGGTGTCAACCAAGACCACGCCCTCTTTTCCAGCCTCTGTGATTGAGACCACGCCCACAAGACTATTCACAGGGCATTGAGCACTGATTCCCAGTTGGACACCGGATTTGAACATTCTGGCTACTGGTTTCTTCGTTGCCAACGACCAAAATACGATATGTCCATCCTTATCAACTGCCATCAACTCCTTATTCAACTGATCCACTGATAACGCGGTGATTGGAGAATCAGCGGCTGGGGCGTCGTTTTGAAGAGACCCGTTTGAGTTGATGTACGACGAGGACTTGGATTTTCGGTTTTTGGAATTCTTTTTTGAGGATTTAGGCGGTGCGGAGGTGTATGAGTGCACGTGACGACCCGATTGAGCATTGAATTGATCGATGTGGCCTGAAAAAATACCAATTTTTTGGGGATTAGAATAGGTTGTTGGCAGAAAAGTGGGCGGAGCCTAATTTCGTTCAGAATGAACTTTCTCGTAAAAGTGGGCGGAGCATAGTTCCCCTAATTGCTAAAAAGTGGGCGGGGCTTATTCTTTTTCACTAAACACTGGAAAAATGGGCGGAGCCTGAATTTTTTTGCTTGATTATGAGAAAAATGGGCGGAGCTTACATATTCCCATAATTTACAAAAAAACGTGGGCGGAGCTCAATATTTTCACTGATTTCTAAAAACATAAAAATGGGAGAGAGCCAATTGGTAGAAGTGGGCGGAGCCTAATTTGTCCCTAATCATGAAAAAAAAAGTGAGCGGAGCTTTATCGATTTCGGATGGGCGGGTCTAATGTCGTTAGAAAGGCGGATTCTAATTTTTGTCGGAAAGTTGGAGGAGCTTATTTTTAAAAAGCAAAATTTGAGAAAAGTGGGCGGAGCCTATTTCCCCTGACTATGGGCGGAGTCTATTTTTCTAGATTTTAAGAGAAATGGGCGGGACCTAATGTCAGAACCACAGAACACGGGCGGAGCCTAATTTTCGTCTAAGAGTGGGCGGAGCCTAAAAAGAATGAAAGGAAGAAGCTTAAGATAAAAAGTGGGCGGAGCTTAATTTTATAAACACCGAGAAAAGTGGGCTGAGCCTATTTTCTCTTCAAAACTCTCGAATTTCTCGATTTTTAGCTAATTTTCCCCAATTTTTTGCCCAAATTCCTCATTTTTTTTCCTATTTTTTCGTCCAAAATCCTCAATTTTCCTCATTTTTACCTGTAGAATATCCGATAAAAACGAAATTTCCACAAGAGGAGACTGCAAGGGCCGTCGCACTCGCATCAATAAAATCCACCTTCTTTTTGAATCGATCATGCTCCAGATGGAATGCTCCATGAGTGTTGTTGCGGGTTTGCCACGTGGTGATTTTTGTGTCATTTCTGGAAGGAAAATTGGGGTTGAAAATTGTGAAAAATGCGATTTTTGACACAAAATTTGCCGTTTTTGGGTTAAATACAGTAAAAATTGAGGATTTTCAGCTCAAATATGTAATTTTTTCAGCTTATTTTCAAAAAATCGAAAAACTGAAGTTGAAAATTAGTTTTTTTTTTCGTTGATTTTTGACCCAAAAATTGAAGTTTTCAGCTCCAAACATTGTGAAAAGTGGGATTTTCAGCATGAAAACTGAAAATTTGATCTAGATTCACAGATTTTGGAACAGATTTCCAGCCAAAAAAGCACTTACACTTGACGACAGAAGACATTGTTCCACGCGGCTTCTCTCTGCCATCCAAATGCAATTTCAGCTACATTTTGAACGTCAGTAGTAATGTTGGTGGTGCCATTCGATGGGACGGTTCCTCTGGGAAAAAAAATAAATTTTAATTAAAAATTTTCATCTGGATTTCCAGATTTTCAGTGAAAAAAAAACCAATTTTCCGCAGAAAATTTCAAAAAAAATTTGGTTTTCTGATAAGAAAAAAATTCAATTTTTGACTGAAAACCACTAAATTTGAGCCAAATTTTATAATTTCCGATGAAAATTCTTTTCAAAAAAAAAATCCAGATTTTCAAAAATTTCGAAATTGGAAAATCATTAATTTTCAGCCAAAATTGAACAGTTTTCAGCTGGAAATTTGTATAAAACAACTACTTTTTCTGGAATTTTGATCGGACATCTTCGATTTTGAACCCGAAAAGTCCAGAATTTCCGTCAAAAATAACCAATTTTGAAATGGGAAAAACACAGATTTTCAGCGAAAAATCATCTGAAAGTCCAGATTTTCAGTCAAAAATAACCGATTTTGAAATAGAAAAATAGCTGAATTCCAGCCAAAATAGGCAAGGCCTAAACTCCTACAAAATGGGCGGAGCCTAATTTTCCATGTATAGCATAATTTGGAAAAGTGTTTAGGTTAATTTTTAGGCTAGAGAAAAGCCTATTCCCTTCCCTGATTGCTAGAGGAGGGGGCGGAGCCTAAATTCCTACAAAATTGCGTCTCATCTAAAAGTAGGCGGAGCCTAATTTTTCCCCCAAATTCTTGAAATGGAAAGTATGCGAATAATAATTTTCGCCGGACTATAAGAAAAGTGGGCGGAGCTTAATTATTATCCTAATTGCAAGCGAAGTGGGCGGAGCCTAATTTTCCATGTATAGCCTAATTTGGAAAAGTGGGCGGAGTTTAATTTTTCTCGATTTATAGAGAAATGGGGCGGAGCCTAATTTCTTCACTGATTGTTAGAGGAAGAGCCTAACTTGTGGCTTAAAGTGGGCGGAGCTTAATGTTTTTTACCGATTACAAGAAGCGTGGGCGGAGCCTTAAAAATTAAAGGAGCTTATGGCCAAAAGTGGGCGGAGCCTATTTTCTTTTTAAATGTTCCGTTTTTTAAAGATTTCGAGCTCATTTTTTATCTATTTTTCTACAGAAATCATCGATTTTCCTGAATTTTTCGCTCCTTTTTCCTGTAAAAACTCTCACTTCTTGTCTTTTCCCGGTCCAACAGATCCTAGCTTCTGCCTCATCGTCAGTGATGTAACATCATATTTTCGAATGGATCCATCCTTTCCAGCCGTCACAATCTCATTTTGGCTGACAAATTTAGCACTTGCACACGGTTTCGAGTGTCCTTCGAGACGAATCAGCTCACGCGGCATTCCATCGGCACTGTCGAAAATCCAGAGACGAATCGAGTTGTCCAGCGAGGAGGAGAGCTGAAAAATAGAGGCTTTGAGGGGGAAAGGGGGCTGAAAATCGCTTAAAAATGACAAAAATGGCTGAAAATAGCTAAAAATTGCTTATTTTTTGCTTTAAATGTCTGAAAATCCGATTTTTTGGCTTTTTCAGACATTTTAAACTAATTTTAGACTTATTTTTGACCATTTTCAGCTCATTTTTGACTATTTTTGGCTCATTTTTGATTTTTTTTCGGCTTATGTTTCATCATTTTTGGCTCATTTCTGACCATGTTTGGCTCATTTTTGACCATTTTTGGTTCATTTTTGGCTCATTTTTGCTCATTTTCGACTATTTTCAGCTCATTTTTACCATTTTTGACTCATTTTTGATTATTCTCTGCTCATTTTTGACCATTTTCGGCTCATTTTTTATTATTTTTTGCTCATTTTTGCTCATTTTTGACCATTTTTGGTTCATTTTTGGCTCATTTTTGCTCATTTTCGACTATTTTCAGCTCATTTTTACCATTTTTGACTCATTTTTGATTATTCTCTGCTCATTTTTGACCATTTTCAGCTCATTTTTTATTATTTTTTGCTCATTTTTGACCATTTTTGACTATTTTTGATTATTCTCGGCTCATTTTTTATCATTTTCGGCTCATTTTTTATTATTTTTTGCTCATTTTTGACCATTTTTGGCTCATTTTTGGTTCATTTTTGGCTCATTTTTGCTCATTTTCGACTATTTTCAGCTCATTTTTACCATTTTTGACTCATTTTTGATTATTCTCTGCTCATTTTTGACCATTTTCAGCTCATTTTTTATTATTTTTTGCTCATTTTTGACCATTTTTGACTCATTTTTGATTATTCTCGGCTCATTTTTTATCATTTTCGGCTCATTTTTTATTATTTTTTGCTCATTTTTGACCATTTTTGGCTCATTTTCTCAGAGTTTCAGACTATTTTTGACCTAATTTTCGCGAAAAATAGCTGAAAATCATGATTTTCAGATCATTTTTACCCATTTTTGACGAATTTTAGGTCAATTTCAGTCGAATTTCAGCTTATTTTCAACCATTCTGCCAAATTCTTACCATAATCGGCTCCCCGGAAATAAAATGCAGACAATTTATTTCATTGGAATGAATTCCAGTGATTTTTCCCAGCAATTCTTGTTTCTCCAAATCCCAAATAGCAATGGTTCCATTCGCATCGGCAGTCACCATCGTTGATTCGCCGTCATCGCTGAAAATACGATTTTCAGAATTTTTGGGTCAATTTTGTTTAATTTTTATGGTTTTTTTAGGCCAAATCATTACTAATAACATTCACCAGATTCCGTATGTGCGTATGTATGCCGCATGACGGTTAACCCATTCAAAGTTAACCGATTGAGCTAAAACCTGGACAGATAGATCAGAAATGTGTCTAATTGAAGGCCCGACCTTTTCATTTTTCGAAAATTTGATTTTGAAGTCTTCTGGAGACGTTCCTTGGTTTCACCACAGTGAAGGGTGGAGGGCAGGGCGAGGGAGGAGGGCGAGGAAAACCCACACACGTGTATACCATTTCCGTAATCCCCGCTGTGGTCACCCGTTGTGTAGCGGCTAACGCGCCTCACTTTTGTGCGCGCTATGCGGGTTCGAGTCCGACCGGTGGCGATTCGTTTTTGCTTTTTTTGTAGAGAGTTTAAAAGTGAAAGAGAATGTGTGCAATAGATTTTTTCATCGGTTTTAACAATTCGGTAAGAAGGGATTTCAATATTTCACAAGAAATAGATTACATTTAGTCAAACAGAAACATTTAGTTAAATTTCAAAGTTATCCAGTTTTTTTTCGGAGTCAATGAAAATATTTAGACTTCGTTTTTTAAAGTTATGTCCATATGCCCTGAATTTTTTGGATAAAGAGACATAGGTCGGAAAATTTGCTATGGTCCGGAAACTTGGAAGAGGTGTTATATAATTACGAATATGTAAAAAGGAGAAAACATGTTTCAAAGATTTGATATGCGTTTTCACAAAGAAAACCGAGTTATTTTGAATTCAAAAAAAAAGAATTATTGAAATTTCAAGTTAATTTTACGTTACGAAATTATTAATTCAAAAACTTTCGAGCTTACGATATTCTGAAGTAAAAAAGTCATAAACCCGGAAATCCAGAACATCGGAAAGTGGAAGTTTGAAAAGTTCGAAAATTCAAGATATAGGAAATTCAAAAAATCTACACTCGGAGACTCATCAACTCGAAAAATGGGAATTCAAAAACACTGTTTTCTCATATTCAGATAAAAAATTCAGAGTTCGCTGAAGTTTCGAATCGAAATTTCAAAGGTTGATCTCAATTTCTCAACTTTCGATCTTCTTCCCTTCATAATTTTTGAAATTCTGAATTTCAGGGTACCAGAAATTAGAAAGTCAGAATTCCGAAAGTTCAAAAATTAGAAAACTTGAAAACTTGAGAGTTCAGAGATTCAGGGTTTCAGAAATTGAGTCCTGAAATCCCCAATTCGAAATTTAGACTTTTGAAGGTTTTTTTTATTCAGAAAATTTTTTCTCAAAGATAAAAAAAAATCGAAAGGTTATGATTCTGGGGATCCAGGAGATTCAGATATGAACTGAATTTTAGAATTTCAAATTTTGAAAATTTCAAAGTTTCGTTTAAATTAAAAGTTCCGACTTTCTCAATTTCTTAACTAACGAATTTTTTATCACGATTTTTCGAAAATTTTTATCATGAACTTTCGAAAGAGTTCGGCGACCCAAAAACTTGAGAATTCAAACATTCGAGTATGCAGAAAATTCAGGAAACCTAAGCGAATCGCATTTGAAACGCTTTTATGGGTTTCCGAATCGAATATTTTTTGAACGTCGGATTTTTTTTTAATTTACTAATCTCTGAACTTCCGAATGACTTACTTTCCAAACTCTGAATTGTCTGAATAGCTTGATTTTGGGAATGTTAACTCCTAAAATTACCGAATTTCTGTTTTAGGGATTTCTGAAACTCAAAACTTCTTGATTTCCGGATATGGACCTTTAGAAAAAATATTCCGGAAAAAAAAATGACGAAACGTCTTTATGAAATGACGGGAACTGTAACCGGAGGCCAGGAGGTTGAGCCCCGGAGGGGCGTAAACCGACTGGTGGGTAATATCAGAGCGTGTCAAAACACCGAAAAATGTATTTTTGAGGAATTTTGGTCTTAAAAAACAAATTTTGGGTCAAAATGCACGGGATTTTTCACTCTAGGCTAGTAAAAATACCGATTTTAGGTCAGAAATTCTGAAATTTCGTGATTTTGTAGCTTCAAAAGTGCATTTTCAACAATTTTTGAGTTCAAAATCCGTTTTTCATGTTTTCAATAGCTATTTTAGCCTCAAATTCTCGTTTTTTCGCACCCAAACAGCTTAATTTTTCAGATTTTCAGGTCAGAATTTCTAGAATTTCAAGGTTTTTTCTGACTAAAAATGCATTGGAGACAAATTCGTAAACTCAAAAAACGCCATTTTGAAGATTTACAGCTTCGAAAATCGTTATTTGAGCTGAATTTTTCGACATTTCTGCTTTAAAAGATGCACAAATTTGAGATTTTTTTCGATTTTTAGACCCAAAAACCGCCATTTCCAAGCATTTCAAGTCTAAAAAAAACCGAGGCATGTAAAAATACCGATTTTTGGTAAGAAATTCTGGAATTTCGTGATTTTTTAGCTTGAAAAATCGCATTTCAGGCAAATTTTGAGTTCAAAATCCGAGTTTTTCAAGTGTCAAAATAGCTATTCCGGCCTCAAATTCCCGTTTTTTGCATCCAAAAGGATTAATTTTTCAGATTTTCAGGTCAGAATTTCTGGAATTTCTGTAAGTTTTTTCCAGATAAAAAGTGCATTCTAGCCAAATTTCAAGCACAAAATTCGAGCTTTTCGAGATTTTTCTTCGATTTCAAACCGTTTTTGCAGTCAAAAAACCGATTTTTCGAGTATTTCCCAAAAATTCCAAAATATTTTTTTAGGTCAGCAATTCTAGAAATTCTTGATTTTTAGCTTGAAAAATCGCATTTCCGGCAAAATCTTGAGATTTTGATCATTTTTAGGTGAAAAATTCTCGATTTTTCTATTTTTTAAACCCCAAAACACTTTAGAAAAACTCACCGAAACGCGATATTCGTCACTTTGGCATCGTGCCGAAACGCTCCCAGGACCTTGTCCATCTTCACATTGAACAGAAAAACCTCTCCATTCTCCAACCCCACAGCCAGCACGTCTAAAGCCGTAGTCTGCTCCAGATGAGTGATTCTGGCTCCAAATTCCCTTTGAAACTCATGAATCACTTTTCCGGTTCGAATATTTAGAATCCTCAATTTGCCTCCAGCACTTCCCAGAACAATTTTATTCAAATAAGTGCTGGGATGGCAAATTGCACTGATTTCAAATGTGTCAGAACCCTCTAAATGCAGATTCTTCTGAAGATTCTCTCCGGTTGTTTCGATGACGTGGATTCCGGAATCCGAATCGATGGCGATGAGTTGGGTACCAATCAAAGTAAGTTGAGCAATCGGCACACCTAGATCCAGGGTTTCAGTGATTTCTCTGCAGAATGGGAGGACCGAAATTCGGGTGCCGGCTGCTGCAAAGACGCTGGAACTGGAGGAAGCGACTGCGGAGACACGGTCGTTCAGAGGATCGGACATTCCAATGGCTCTCAACTTTTTTCCGTTGTATTGAATTATGAAATTATCGATTGGACAGAGGACGGAGAGGGTGGAGCGTTTTCCGACAAAGGTCGTGCGGATTGAGGGGGCGACCTGGAAGATTTTGAGGGTTTTTGAAAAATTTAATTTCCTGGGAAAGTTAGGCTTGAAAATGCATTTTCAGGTCTTGAAACAGCGAAATGCCGGCATTTTTTGCTTTAGATACCATCATTTAGGCCTTAAAATTGAGATTTTCGGAAATTTTGGCTCAAAACATTTTTTTCAAAAATTTCATTTTTTGAACTTTTCTGACTGAAAAATGCATTTTTGGGACAGAAAACAGCATAAATTCTGCGCAACAGCACAGAATTTAAGGCTAAAAAACTTATTAAAACTGAAAATTTCGGGGAAAACTTGAAAATCGAATTTCATAGTTTCTACAGCAAAATCGATTTTTTTTAACGCTATTTTTTTAAAAAATTTCGCTTCTTTTACACTTACATCTCCAACGACAACGCCCAAAAAGCGATGAGGAATAAACAGCTCCGACTCGGCGCGCTTCATTACCTGAAAATCTGGATTTTGGAGAAAAATGAGGCTTCATAAGCGAAAAAAGTGGGTTTTAAGAGAGAAAATAGGTTGAAAAAATATTCAGCACATCAGAAAACCGGAAAAAACTAAGATTTAGAATTTAAAAAAAGTACTTCATTCAAATGAAAAAAAAAATAGAATTTTTGAGATTTTAGGGCATAATCCAGTGTCAAAACTTCATTACTTACACTGAAATTTTGCAATTTTTTTATTCTAGTACCTGAAATACCTATTTTACAGCCTAAAAAGGCTAAAAATCCAAAAAAACAGCCCAATAAAAATTTATTTATGTTAATTGTTCGTAAAATCCAACGCCTTCTGTGCCAACACCGCGCGGTCCGCAATTGTCAACCGTACTCCGCAAAAAGCGCGGTATCTCAAATATTGGTTTTTCTCCCATTGTTCGTAAGATGTAACGCATTCTGTGCAAACCGCGTAGCCGAAGCGAAAGCGCGCGAACCTCAAATATTGGTTTTTTCTCTTTTTTTTTCGGCGATTTTTAGCGATTTTCTTGCAGATTCCACTAACAAAATGACTAGTCGATTGGCTCTATTCGATCAGACGCTTAGTGCGTCGCTGTTGCAGCGAGTGAATTCGGATCCGCATGACTATAAGTGAGAAAATTTGAATTTTCGACCCCATAAAATTCAATTTTCAGAGCCTACAAGACACGTGTGAAACTGAAAATCCTTGAGCAGCGAGGGGAGCATGGCGAGAAAGAGTTGAAATTCGAAATTTCTCGCGCCGACGATTTCGAGTTCCTTTTCGCGGCAATTTTGAACAACGAAAAATACCAAGAGCTGGCGAAGGCTCATGAGCTAACAGTGGACTTTGACACATTTCCAAAAGTGATAATCCAACATTTATTGTGCAAAAATATTGTAAAAACGGCTGACGAGGATGGAATTGAGGTCGACGCCCGGGCAAAACCCGGATATCATAGTATAATTGAAAATAGAGGAGTTCCACCGACGGAAATCAACATAAAACTGGAAAAGGACAAGAATTCGTGTGAATTTGAGATTTTTTCGAAGACACCCATCTCCAAGGGAAAGATCTTTGCGATGAGCTTACAGGCGGTCCGAGGGGATTTGTTGATTGCTCATTTGCTCAAAATTTGTTCATCACAGTCGACAAAAATTGCCACGTTGCACAGGTACTGTTTATCGGTCGAGCGGAATTGTCAATTTCTTTAATCTTCAATTTTTGGCTAAAAATTTTTTTTCTAAAATTTCGAATATTTGCAATTTTCCGATTTTTTTCAAAAAATGTTCGATATTTTGGATTTTTAAAAAAATTTTGATTTCTTGCAATTTTTCCGTTTTTTTTGTGGTTTTCAGCGTTTTCGCCAATTTCCGACGTTGGCCTAATTTTTTCTGATTCTCAGAATTTTCGAATTTTTTTGCTTTTTTCGGTTTTTTTTTAAATTTTGCAAATTTTGAAAATTTCGAAAATTTTCAATTTTTTCTTTAAAAAACCACAAATTTTTTTTCTTCAAAAATCCTTTATTTTCTTTTCGAAAAATTGAAAAATAACAAAAAATTCGAAAACTTTGAAATTTGAGAAAAAAAAGCAGAAATTCCGAAAAATCAAAAAATTCTGAAAAAAAAATTTTTTTAAATCGAAAATGTAGAAAATTGGAAAGTGCGCTTCATTGACAGACAAAAAGTTTTGAAATCATTAGCATTAAAAACAGAAAATTCAAAATTAGAAAATTGGCAAAAATCATGAAAATGCAAAAAATATCTGTAAAAAATTTCACATGTAACTTTTCTCCAAACTTTTAGGTTTTTGAAAAATGAGATACCGTAAAACCTGAGCTCAATTATCTCGATTTCTTTAATAGATATTAAGCATTTGCCAACTGATAAAATGTTAATCATAATATCACCTACATTTTATCAGTTGACAGATTTCTAATATCTTTTATAGGAACCGAGATAGGGGCCCTTCTATCACAGGTTTTACGGTAAATTCAAATCTTCCAGATCCACTGACGAGTTAGCAGCTCTAAAAACGAAAGTCGCCGAAATGGAAAAGCGGAATCAATCGATAGAAGATCTGGAAAAAAAGATAGAGGAGCAGGAAGAGAGAATTAGAGAAATGGAGGATGAGTTGGAATTGGTGAAAGAGGAACGCGAGAATATTCGAGTGATTGCTGAGGAGAAGGAGGATCTAGTGGCCGAACTACAGAATGATCTGGAATCGGTGAATCGGGAGCTAGAGGAGAATCAGGAGGAGCTGGAAATCGTCGGCAAGATGTTAGGAGAGGAACAGGGGAAAGTGGATCAGTTGCAGAAACGAAATGTGGCTCATCAGAAGGAGCTTGCCACGTTGCAGAGAAACTTCCAGAAGGTTTAGGAAAATTGGAAATTGCAGAAACAATTTTCGCAATTTTTTCAATTTTTTAGTTGGAAAATTTGAGAAAAATTCGGATTTTTTCCCCTGGAATTTCAATGTTACGATTTCTCAGAGTTTTTGCTTGAAAATATGCAAAAAAAATCACAGAAAATTAGCTGAAAATTACAAATTTTTGGCAAAAAAATGGGGGAAATTGTTCGAATTTTTTTTTGACAATTTTTTGATTTTTACAAATTTTTAGAAAATTTGCTAAAAACTGAAAATTCGGAAATTTTTTTTTTGAAATTTCAATTTTTTTTCAAAAAATTGCAAAATATTGCAAATTTCGAGAAAAAAAACGGCCGAAAATCTGAAATTTTGAAAAAATGCAAAAAAAAAATTTTTTTTTTAATGTTTCAATTTTGAAAATTTTCTTATTATCTGATTTTTTTGCTCAAATTTTCGCCTTTTTTGCTGCACTTTTTAAAATTTTGCAATTTTTAAAAATTTCGCCAAAATTTCAATTTTAGTCTAATTTAAGGTTGAAAGTCAGCTGAAAAGGAGCTCCGTTGAGCAAAGCCAACAGAGCCTAGATATCCGGAAATTGAGAGAATTGGAAGCGGACTTGAAGGAAAAGGACTCGATGGTTGAGAATTTGACACAGACTGTTGGCATATTGAAGAAGGAATTGGAGGATGAAAGGGTCAAAATGCAGGAGACGATGACCAGTTTTGAGAGCTTGAAAGTCGAAAATGAGAGTGTTAAAGAGAGTGAGTTTGGGGAGAAAATTTGGAAAAAATTCAAAAAATTACAATTTTCCAAATTTTCCATTTTCTCAAAGTTCTCAAAAAAAACACATTTTTTGCTAAATATTACACAATTTTCACTTCAAAACTTCAAATTTTCAGGACTGGCGATGTACCGGAATCAACGCTTTTCACCGGCGCCCGTCGGACTACAAACTACAACAATTCCAAGTGCTGGCGTCGGATTCAAGACGGTTTTAGGCCAGAATTCACCATATGCCAATAATCCGAATATGGTAAATATCTGAAAATTGGATTTTTTTGGAAATTTTAACCCAGAAAATCACTATTTTTCGCTGTTTTTAACCGTAAAATTAAGTTTTTTTAGCGAATTTTCAATTTTTACATGAAAAATTTGAATTTCGCGCTGATTTTCCGGCGCTTCTGTGTTTGCGGACTTCGCAAACCGAATCCTACGAAAAAAAATTGCGCTTAAAATTTCGAATTTTCAGAGCATTTTTCGTCATTTTGGACCGTTTTTTCGAGTAAAAATTTTAATTTTCATTGAAAAATTTGAATTTATCGCCAATTTTTTGATATTTTGACCTAGAAAATTGGATTTTTTTTCCCGATTTTTCAAATGTTTTTCTTCCAGAGAACCCCATTCCGCGACACGAGCTCCGCTTTGAACACTGGATTAACCTATCAAAATTCGATTACCCCGCTTCCAAATACTACTAGATTTTTGATGGCAGACGACACGACAGGCTCTAGTGTCACGAATACACCGCCCGTCCTGAGAAATCCATTATAAAATTGCTTCCTTTCCTGTGTTATCAGTAAAATTTGAACTTCCCTCGCTTTTCTCACTGTCTTGTGTGCAAACACTTTCTCTTACGACATTTTCTTATCAATTTTTTCTATTCATTTTTTACCTTTTTTTCGATGCGGACCCGAAAATTTCAGCGTTTTATGTGGCGGTTCAGGAGGTTTTTTTCGGCTAATTTCAGCCGAAAAATCAATAAGAATTCAGGTGAATTCGCTGATTCAAAACGGCGGCACGTCGAGCAGCCGATCGTTGGAGGAGAAAATTGTGGAGCACTTGGAGAATGCGCAATTGTTGGGCAAGTTGCCCAAGATGGGCGGTGCACAAGAAGAAGTACGATTTTTGAGATGGAAATTGGGGAGAAAATGCTAGATTTTCAGTCAAAAATCCCAGAAATCGCTGAATATAAATCTCAAAAAGTTGCCAAAATTTAAAGGGGGACTCCGACCAAAAATTTTTATTGCATTAAAATGTGTTTAAATTTATCTATTTTTCGAATATTATTGCGAAAAAATTCAAAGAAAATCCGAAATCCCCGAAAAACGGCGTTGAAAAGGAAGAAAATTCAAAAAAAGGT